TACCTAATGTGTTTTAATTTCTAAATTATATCCTAACGTTGTTTGTTTTACTGAAACTTGATTTTTTTTTTACACAATCGTCTTTAATTATGAAATCTTGTAAAATAAATCACTTTTTTCTCAAATTAATTACCACGAGCTTAAAACATGAATTCTACAAACGGGTCAGGGGCAACACTGAGCGGAAACACAGATTCTGTTTGTTTATGCAAAGAAAATAAACGAGGAAGTCTGAATGTACCTCTCAGCCCTCTTTAACACAATATTAAAAAGAAAGAATACGACACCAACAAAAAAAAAACTAACAAAACACAGAGAAAAAAATACTGAATGTCTAAAGAGGTGAAATAATCAGAAAGGTAACAAGAATGTCAACTAGTGGAGCACTTTTAAGTTTCTGTTTTACAACGAGTTTTATTGTGCACTTTAAAATAAGAATGTGGGTCAAATTGTACCAACTCTACCAAAAATAGTTTTTTTTGTTTTTTTATCACTTCAGAAGAAAAAAATAACTTAATATTAATTTATTAATTTCTTCATCATCAGTGATTTTTTTAAGTAAAGAGAAAATAGAAAAAGAGGGAAAAACAAAGAGAAAATGTAATTAGAAAGATTGAAATAGAGATTATAAATATATTAAATATACACCAAGAAAACACAAGGCCACACACCCAACATCTGTCCTCCAAAAATACCAAAAATTGTTGTTAATTTCATGCTGGAAAGCAAGAACATCAGGTAAGATTATTTGCACACAAACTAACAAAAATTAGAAATTCAACCTTTTTTTTTGTAAAATCTTATATTTTCAGTTTTAACTGCATGTTTGTACTTGTCGGTGTTTCCTCTTTGGATCAGAATCTAGATCAAAATACTCCTCTTCAACAGGATCTGTGGAGCGGCTCACCTGACACTTCACTTGTGTCGTTAGCTTCACCCCACCGCCGGAGCAAGTAGGCAAAAATCATGTCTCATGAATTATGTGCATGCATTAGTTGATCCACGTCTAAAAAAAGCCCGTTCGTAATGGCCTTGCATTAAGCCAAAAATGTGCTCCCGCTGCTTTCGAGAGCTGAGATAATTCATGAGCCTGGAGCTGCAGRCAGAGCGTTCGCAAAAACTTGTGTTGTGATGGGAGTGAGTGATGAGGGTTTTCTACCATCAGAACGGGGAGGTGCTCCTGTCCCGGTTTGAAAACGGCTCTGTTGCAGAGGCCGGCCACGCGAGACAACGCAGCCCAAGTATCAGAGCTCCTGTCAAAAGCCAGACCTGGGAGAACAGCAGAAGAACCTGTGTTAGGTTTCATTTAAGCGTAGAGCTCATTCAGTATTTATTCTGCTCCTGGTTCACAGAGCTGCACTGGATATTGTAGCTAAATAACAGAGTCGGGCTCRCTTGAGTTGAACAGTCCTGTTTATTTCCTTTGACAGAAGTGATTTTTCAACTCCCCAGTCTGGAAAATGGCATTCATTTTTAACTAGAGCAACTCCCAAAAAATATTTATATAAAAAACAAAAGCTTGCAGGAAATAGTTTGTGTCAAAATTTCTGCTTTCCCACCCGATCCAATTGAAAACAACCTTCACAGTGTTCACAGTCACCTGTGTGTTCTGAACAGGCGGGGAGTCTGACGGACACAACCTGGAGTAAGGTTTGTCCTGCAAACTGAAGTCTGCCATGTTTTTTTTCCCCCACCAGCATCACTGATTCATTAGTATGCATGAAACACCTGCTCTTTTTCTGCCAAACCTTTTGCTTATTGCTGGAGGCTTTTACAAAAATTTGGCTCGAATTTTCCTTCGCTGGTGGGAGGCAGGAGCTGATTGGTTGCACCGCAGCAGCCCCGCCGTGGAAAAGCTGTGGGTTTTTTTGCCACCCACTGCATACCACTTCTCCATTAATCCAGGCGGTAGAGTGAACAGCCATGTTTGCTGGCGGTGGGACTGTTGGACAGATGAAATTTAGCAGGTGGTCCCTCTCCCCTTCTGCATTCCCTCAAACACTCTATTTCCTGTTTTTTTATTTTTATTTTCATCTCATTTCTGTTTTACCGGTTTGGTCCTCGGTGGTGTCTGCCTCGTGGATCTGATCGTCGAACCACATGTGGGCCACGGTCATGCGGTTCTGGGTCAGCGTGCCCGTCTTGTCGGAGCAGATGGTGGAGGTGGAGCCCAGAGTCTCCACGGCCTCCAGGTTCTTCACCAGGCAGTTCTTCTTGGCCATCCGCTTGGCAGTGAGGGTCAGACACACCTGGGGGGGGGGAGGGTGAGAATGGTTGATTGTTAGTCGGCGAATGGAGAAAGCATATGAGCGCAGCGGTGCGTTCAAGCGCTCGTACATGTGAAACCATGCGTGGTTCAGGTGCCTGATAAAACTGAGTGTGTGTGTGTGTGTGTGTGTGTGTGTGTGT